TCCAGCGTTTGAATTGTCTCCACCAGCTGTGTGCTTACCCCGGCTTGCCTGATGTATAGGGGAACTGTCAAAGAAGAGTCCTCCGACCACTCTCTTCAACTGGGTTAGTGTTGTAAAACTTGACTACATGTATTGTTCTGCTGTCATTCTCCCGGTGTGTGTGCTGCAGTGGTGATGACCGTGTATGACAAGAAGGTTTCAGCGGTGACTGCCGTGCCATCTAACGAATACATTGCAGCAATTGTCGGTGAGTTTGGAGCGCCTTGGTGTGAGTGTGTGTGTGCCCGTGTGTATGTGTGTGCGAGTGCATGTGTGTGAGTGCGGGTGTGTTTGTGGGTGCATGTGTGTGGGTGCGGGTGTGTGAGTGGGCGTGGATGCGGTTGTGATCGCACATACATCAGTACGTGTGTGTGTGTGCGTGTGTGTGCGTGTGTGTGTGCGTGCGTGTGTGCGTGTGTGCGTGCGGGTGTGTGTGTGTGTGTGTGTGTGTGTGTGTGTGTGTGTGTGTGTGTGTGTGTGTGTGTGTGTGTGTGTGTACATGCAAGCTTGGGCTCCTGTTGAGTATGTACACCACATGGGACTAGTTGCATCAATGTGTTCTTGTTGCAGTAACATGCGATAATGGAGAATTTACCTAATGACTGTTGTGCGTCGTTCTTGTGTGCTTCTGTGTGAGTGTGCGGGTGTGCCCGCATGTATGTGTGTGTGTGCTTGTGTGTGTGTGTGTGTGTGTGTGTGTGTGTGTGTGTGTGTGTGTGTGTGTGTGCGCGCGTGTGCATGTGTGCATCTGTGTGTGTGTATGTGTGTTGCAGGTAAAAACCACCAGCTGCGTGTCTACTCCTACTCTGCACTGGACAGTGGTGAATGTGAATCCAGCTGTATCAAGATTCAAGACACTAAGGGTGTGTACAGTACTATGTATACATGTGTGTGTGCGTGCATGTGTGTGTGTGGCGGGGGGGGGGGGGGGGGGGGGGGGGGGGGGGGGGGGTGTAGCGTATACCTGCTGCACACAGTTTCACACACTAAACAGGTTCATTCTTCTGCTTACACTGCATTCAATTGGCAGTTTGCATTTAACGGTGATGCGTTCACTTTGTTATGGGCACTGTTTAACATCATCATCTCCCCTGCTGCTGAGCTTGTACTAGTACTCTAGGTTCTGTTACTCTCAAACCTACTACAATAAAGTTTGTTTTCACATGTTTTGCTACACACAGGCTGTGCACACCTGTGTGCGGGAACAATGCCCAACGGCAGCACATTCATCTGCACCACTATCAAACGCAAGGCTCTCGTCTTCCTGGTCATTGTCAATGATGAGGGTCTCTACCAGCTCTCCAAACATCGCGTGAGTAGTGTTGTATTATTCCTGCAGAACACTGATGGATGGGCGGAGTGTTCTAGATGTAGTTAGAAAGGTTGTGTACTTTAAAGAGTAGCATTGGTGTTGGTGCTGCTGTGCTACTGTGGTGGTGGTGTTGCACGAGTTAAACCCCTAACTTTCATGTCTCAGAAGAATAGTAGGCGCGGCGTACCTTGAATGCTCACGACAGGAGGGATTTGCACCCCAGGCGAGCTGTTAGTTCCCCCGGAAATGTGTTTTTGTGTAGTGTTCACTGAAAAAGTGGTATTTTGTGAACTCCCAGGTGTTAGCATTACGTAATATGTACGTGTTTCATGCTTGACCCCTTGCTAACGATTATTTTTTAAGACAAAGTTCGATTGGCGGCCAAGACCGAGGCTGCACCCAACAAGGGGGTTCGAGAGCAACAGAGCAACTCTTGGAGCAGCGGTCCTGGATAGTTATTGTGACAAAGTCAATTAATACAGTCTGTGGTACACCAATGTGTAGGCACCCCCCCCCCCCCCCCCACACACACACACGCACATACTTCTGGCTGAGTTTTCTTTCTTTTTTTTAATGGAATGCAACAGGGTGTCCGGAAAATATGATGCCTCCCCCCCCCCCCCCCCCCACACACACACGCACATACTTCTGGCTGAGTTTTCTTTCTTTTTTTAATGGAATGCAGCAGGGTGTCCGGAAAATATGATGGCTCGTTTATTATGAATTCTCCAGGTGCATGCCGGTATAGTTTACCTTGATCAAAGAAGACTTGAAATCACAACTACTGACTGACATTAATTTATTATTAGACTTTGAACACAGGTGCAGTGACTTGCACGGGATGCGTAACTAGTCTTCTGTTGGATAGCTCAGTTTTAAACGCTTGCTTTAGTACTCACTGTTTCTGTGCACCGTTCCCGTTGCCGCTTTTACTGCCTACAGGAGATCTCGTTGACACACACGCCACAGGTGCTAAATGCCTGCCATGGCGCATTCGTGGTGGGCATGGGCAACGACTTCTGGCTGTTCAACCTGACGACCGAGCGGTGTACGCCGCGACGTCTGGTTGACCCGACGGACCCATCGCTGCAGTTTGTCAACACGCACGCCAACGTCCTGCAGCCTGTGCGCTGCATCGAGATGACGGCCATGAGCGAGTACCTGCTCATCTACAACACCATCGGCGTGTTCGTCAGCACCGACGGAAAACGGACACGAAAGCGCGATCTCATCTTCCCTGCACCGCCCGTCACAATTTGTAAGTATCGTATTTGTTAAGATAGAGCCCACACGCTCTCTTCCATTAACACTGCGATAATTCAACTCATTTCACAATAATTATTACGTTTCGGCAAATTGCCTTCATCAGGTTCACAGTCAGCAGTACGTGCATTATGGGGAGGGGTGAGAGGACAGTGCAAGCATACTAAAGAAAAGGGTGAATGTATGATAGATAAATGCATAATGGGATGGTCTAAGACTGAGACGAGGGAAACATCGATGCAGCGAATAGGGTTCTCGGTCGTTGACGACTTTGTGGTGGGTTTGATCTACGCGTCCGTGCCTTTGATTCTTGAGGGTGGTGGGGTTTCAGCGATTGAGTTTCACACGAACTGTGATTATATCATTGTTTAGCCATTGCTCATAGACTCTCAACAGCCATGCCACATTGTCTCTTTGCTGAAACATCTTTCTGCATTAACTGAAATGTTGGGCGTAGTCCATCCTCAGGGTGTAGCAACCAAAACGCAGCACAAAGGGATGCTGTGATGTGACTGTGTGATTGTCTCGACCAGGGAGACCATGCAGGGTCGAGACTAAGTAATGTGTGACACAAGCTATGTTGCTGTAATGTGTGAGCTGGCTGCGTTGGAGTGCACCAGTTCATAGGAAAGCTTGCTAGTATCACAACACGGACATGTTTATGACGCTCCGTGCTGCCTTTTCTTGATGATCCATGTGAAAAATGTAAGTGCATGGCGTTGTGATTGTTTTCTGTACAGCGTATCAAGCACCACTGCTCAGCGTCACCACCAATCACTGCGTGGACACGTTTGATTTGACTAAACTGGACTGGATCCAGTCTACTCCACTGCCTACGGTGAGTAACCATGGTAACTGTACTGGACTATTGTAGACCGGTTACTTGGTACATTGTACTTGCACTGTGAGAGCATGGCTAGGGGGAGAGATATCAGACTCTCAGGTGCCAAGACAAACTCCAGTGCGCAGGATTATATCAACAGTTGAGGAAGTCATAAATTTGGGCATGCCGCAGTATTTGAGCCGAGTCTTTTGTGTTTGTATATGCATGTATTGTGAGGAATTGCGATACATAGCAGTTCTTTTGTGGATGTGCCTATCTGTCTCTCTCCCACCAGGCTATATTCCTTAGTAGCGGCAACTTGCTGTGGAGTCCAAGCACTGAACCTGCACGCCTGCTCTATCACAAGAGTCCATTCCATGGTGAGTTAGAGAACTCTGCCTTTTGCGTCTTGCCTAATAATTATGTTGAGCACCTAAGATTTCCGATATTAGAGTAAAGTCACAGAGGACATTGTATTGATAATCGATGCACCTTGATGTCATTCGAATCCAGGTGCTGTGTATTCCATGATCAGCACAAGTGTTTGCACTAATGCCTGTGCTGACCTTCCTTCATGGCACATCTGTGTTCTCTTTTCCCTGCCCGCAGAAAAATGCATAATGGACCTTTCCGACGATGCTACAATAGTTAGTGTCAAAGCCAACAAGAAGTCCACGTAAGTGTGTGTGTGTGTGTGTGTGTGTGTGTGTGTGTGTGTGTGTGTGTGTGTGTGTGTGTGTGTGTGTGTGTGTGTGTGTGTGTGTGTGTGTGTGTGTGTGTGTGTGTGTGTGTGTGTGTGTGTGTGTGTGTGTGTGTGTGTGTGTGTGTGTGTGTGTGTGTGTGTGTGTGTGTGTGTGTGTGTGTGTGTGTGTGTGTGTGTGTGTGTGTGTGTGTGTGTGTGTGTGTGTGTGTGTGTGTGTGTGTGTGTGTGTGTGTGTGTGTGTGTGTGTGTGTGTGTGTGTGTGTGTGTGTGTGTGTGTGTGTGTGTGTGTGTGTGTGTGTGTGTGTGTGCGTGTATGTGCGTGATGTGTGTGTATGTATGTGTGTGTGTGTGTGTGTATGTGTGTGCGCACACTTGAGCTGCATGGCAGTGTAGCCCTTTGTCCTGTCTGGTGATTGAACACAACCGTTCTGGAAGACCGTCTCTACAATTCCACTTTGATAGGCTGTCGCATATGAAAGCAGGTGTTACTGAGTGATACAGCTCTGAAGCCCTTTCTCTACCGCGTTACTGTAGACTGTGCATGGCTCATCTTTCTTGCTCGTCTTTGCTGTCTTTCGATGTCCAGATCAAAGAAGAAGGCCTCCTCTGGCGGCTGGAAGAAGTAACACGTGTGCTTGAACAAGTTGAAGTTCCCCTTGGTGAGTGCGCTCTACTGATCAGGTTTCTTGTCGACCTTGCGTTGTGAAATACTACTACTCTCTATGCTCAATGAGGCTATCATGGTGTTGTGTGTGCATGCGGCATTCTTCTTGGGACTGTGTGTAGACATGGGGAATAAGCAACCAATAAACTGTCTTCGGCTTACCAGATATGTCGTTTCTCCGTTTGTGCTGTCTTCTTGGGTTTGCTGCTGCTCAGGTCGCCTGCTACTGTTGGCCATTTTTATTAGACCTGGGTGTTTGTGTGTGTGTGTGTGTGCGCGCGCGCGTGTGTGCACGTCCCATGTGTATGTGTGCGCGCTAAGCAGCAACCTTTTCGTGGCCAGTTGTGGCCCACCTGCTGTGTGTCAACGCCGTCGAATAGCCGTCGTCAGCTACCTCCGTCGCTACAAGAAAATGCCACTGTGTCCGTGCGCTCTCTGCTTTGTGTCTGGAGAGAAAATTTCCCCCGCAATCGCAATCGGTACTAGTTTCAAGTATCAACTCTATGTTATGTACATTGCGCGTGTAAATGACTGTAGCTGCATGCACAAGCTAATGCACAAATGTTAGTTCACTTTAGCTATATAGCTGTAGATGTATGGAAGTGCCGCCCCGTGTTGTACATTGTGATACTGATTATTGAGATTATCGACAGTACTTATTTTTCCACTGTACACGTGACCCGTCTCGTCTGGTGTCACCTCTTATGTTCGGACGTGTTAGTTTCTGCAAAGAGTAGCCACATATCATAATACTATCAAATTCATTGGCCCAACTTTTTTCTTCCGCTTTATTATGTCCTAGCCATGGTCCTAATCGCCTATAGGGTAGGCAGTTTGTGCCATGCTTTGTCTACATCAGATTTGGGCATCGTTCTGCTTTCTGTTTTCATGGTTCTACAGTAGGGCAGCGCTTTAGCAAGGCAGCAATCCGACTGTGGATGCGATCACATTTCCCCTATATTCCCTGTTATAGTCTTGCTTCTCACTCGCTTTGATTTCCACTTCTATAACTTCTTCTAGTCACTTTGCACTGCCTTGTACTACTGGTCCTGCAGACCAGCATGGAGCACGCATGCGCGCACTTAAGAACGGTCACGAAGATGAACGTGACTGGCAGGATCTAGCACGGTCAGTGACACAGAAGTTTACAAATTCAGACATGAATGGAGCAAAGATAAACACAACAGTGTTTCCTAGTTACTATTATGGCAAGATGCTGGCGTTGGTATGTGCAGACTGCCTGGTGGCCATGTATGATTAAAAAAAAACAGCAAACAAAACAAAACACTGGCAATGGTGGGTGATGAGAAGTTTGACACTATATGGGCTTTGCAAAAGGTTATATGTAATCTGGTAATGGAATGGGACAAGACTTGGGCCAACGAATAGAAAGAGACTGCATGAACTCTGATGGGACTACTGGAAGTCAGTACTGCATATCAAGCAGGAAACTGTACTGAACAAATGGACAAATCAGACTAACAAAAGAAATTCCCTGTGATCAGGTGAGACCAGAACACACACTCGCACCTGCCACGCACTGAGAAGCCAAACGCACTCACACACGCACACACACACACACACACACACATACAAACACATGCACACACACACACACGCAAGCACACGCATGCACACACACACACACGCGCACACACATGCACACCCGTAGATACGAAATCATCTTTCAGACCGCTGCTGCTTTTTTAGCGATGCTAGCGCCTTGGCACGGAGAGCCGTCTCCTCTGTACTGTCCATAGATTCATCACCACTTTGCCGAGACTACAAAGAAAAACAAAAACATTTTGCAGCAAGAACGGGCAGCACATGACACAAAGGGATGTTACAGGTCAGGCACACCGTCTCCAACCATAAAACCAGATGCCAGAAGAGCAAGATACACCCACTCACCAAGAGAATTTTTTCTAAAAAAGGGTACAGACTGCAGAGGTCGTGCAATTACAATTATTACATCATCATCATCAGTTGAGATGCAAAGCAGCAGCGCAGCGATGCACTAGCACAAGGGAAACCGCCGACTCACGCCAGGGTTCTAGCCAAGCAAAAATAGCAAAAGTACCGCCAGAGCACCCTGTCTCGCGAGAGATTTTACAGCCAAGGGAAGAAAATCGTATGGCAGGATGCTACTAAGTTTGTACAATGTGAGAACAGTTACAACGCAACCCATTTTTTCCATTTTCCAAAATTGTCTTGCCACACAAAATGCAAAAATCGAAAAATAAGTAGGGGGGGAGGGAGAGCGAGAGCGAGAGAGGGTATGCTGACTTGACTTACTTCTTCACGGCGGTGTTTGTGTTTCTTATGCTTGGGTTTGGAAGAACTGTTGTTGGAGTGCTTGTGATGCTTCTTCTTTTTCTTCTTCTTCTTAGCTGCGGTGCCGTCATCGCTAACATCCTACACGCACAACATCAAATAGAACACATGAATTCAACTGCATGACCTGGCATAGCAATGGCTAGATCTACTGTATGACCTGGCATGGCAATGGGTAGATCAACTGCATGACCTGGCATAGCAATGGGCAGATCAACTGCATGACCTGGCATAGCAATGGGTAGATCAACTGCATGACCTGGCATAGCAATGGGTAGATCTACTGCATGACCTGGCATAGCAATGGGTAGATCTACTGCATGACCTGGCATAGCAATGGGTAGATCTACTGCATGACTTGGCATAGCAATGGCTAGATCTACTGTATGACTGTATAGGTCAATAGAATTAAAAGCAGATACACAGTACTACTACCGGAAAATCCCACCAGAGCGCCCCGTCTCTCCCATCCGCCCCTCCCCGACTTCTTGTCAGGGACGTGATCCTCGTATGACTCTGTCACAGTCTGTGATGCCGTACTGTACTGCAGACGCGTGCTCAACCCCGTTGGAAATGTACGCAACAGTGCCCACCCTCTTGACCATATGTACCAGGAATCGCACAAACCCTGAGTTTTGATGGGTCTGTACGACTCCTGGCTCTTGACCTTTGGTCGGTGTACGAGATGCACGAACAGTTTTCGTAGGGTGAGTACTTTTTCATGTAGTACTGAATGCGGCAAGTAGGACTCGCCCATCCGCCCCTCCCCACCTGAAGCGTCGAGGAGGTAGGGGCGCTCTGGCGGGATTTTACGGTAACAGCTTACAGGACGATGCAAAGGGGCTGATCAGGATTCACAGCAGATAGTTCAACGCAGAAATCGGCACCACGCTCGTTCGAGTGCCACAGTTGCTATGGCGTCACAGGGTTCTAGCCAGGGGAAAAACCTGCCCCGTAACCCATTTATTTTCTATTTTCCAAAAATATTTGCCATGAAAAATGCAACGTCAGGGGGCGAATGCTTATGTATACTAAATCGTGCATTCATCACTGTCATATTTTCGTGAAACTCGGAGTCAAGCGAAATTACTCTGTCAGAGAGAAAGCAAGCGATTGATCTTGGCAAGTTGACTAACGACGATTACAACAATATGGTCTACATACCTCACTTGGCGGATTTTTCTTTGCTTCCGCACCGTTGTCCGCTGCCACCGGAGAGTTGCTGGGCGAGTGGGCACGCTTCCTTGGGGCTGGTGCAGGCTCCACAGCAGCGCTGTGTCGGCCAGAAGCGTCATTGCCTGCCCTCTGTCCCTCATCTGATTCCACTGGTCGCCTCACAACACGTCTCTGCTCGGGACTAGTAGGCGGAGAACTATCGCGGCGTCTTCTAGACTTGACCGCAGGCCGCTCATCCTCCTGGCCTCGGTCTCGGCGCTGCTTGCTCCGTTGTACAACGGGCGACTCAGAGAGGCGCGGGGCAGGCTTAGCAGCGCGCGGTGATGGCGAATCACGACTGCGGCGGCTATCCCGAGCCGGGCGTCTTTGAACTGGCGGTGTTGGACTGCGACGACGGCGGCGCTCAGGACTTGGCTTGCGAACAGCCGACGTAGTAGGTGCTGATCTTGGCGGCGAAGCACGGCGACGTTGACGTGGTGAGGGGGAAGGGGAAGGAGACCTGCTGGAATCCCGTCTTGTGGGCGGAAGAACTACACGTCGAGGTGGACTGGAAGACAGCCGGTCGTTCTTAGCTGGCTTGGCACCTCTCTCTTGTGTGTCAGGTTCACGATCTGATTCAGACACATCTGAGCTTGAACCACTGGATACGGATGGTCTGCGACGTAGAGCAACAGGCGCTTTCTCTGGTCGTGATCTAGGTCGAGGTGACGGTGAACGACGTGTACGTCTAGCCGGGGAAGGAGAGCGACGCATGCGACGCACACCAGGAGGAGACCGCCGTGAAGGTCTCGCAGCAGCAGTAGTAGCAGCAGCAGCAGCAGGAGAAGGCGAACGGCGAGATCTACGTGGAGGAGACTGTGATCTTCTAGGCCGACGTGCCGGAGACGGTGATCTTCTAAGGCGGCGTGGTGGGGATGGCGAGCGTTTACTTGCTGCCAGTGGTGAGCGCCTGCGTGCGGCTGCTATGGGTGAAGGTGAGCGGCGTGATGGTGGTGGCCGCCTGCTATCAACAGGTGACCGTCGCGAACGCCTTGGCGGTGAAGGCGAGCGACGTGGCGGGCGTCTTGCCACCGGAGAGGGAGACATTCGGCGAGACGATCTCGGCGGAGATTGGTACCTGCGACGAGGCGGCGGCGGTGAATCGGGCGATACTCGTCGTCGCCGCCTCTCTACGGACGGTGAGCGCCTGGGGGAACTACGCCTCTGCTTCTGCACAGGTGAGCGTCGCCGTTGACGCAGGTCGGGAGACGGACTACGCCGAGACACAGGTCTTCTCCGCTGTTCAGGCGAGGCAGATGGCTGACGGCCTCTTGCAGCAGTGCTGTCCATTTCCGAGTCAGACGAATCCAAGCCCGAAGAACCCGAGGAGCTTTGTTGCCTGCGTAAAGTTTTACCATTCTTGACCACATTACCGGCACGAGGTGCAGGCCTCTCCGGACTCGTCTCCGCAGAGCTGCTGGCTGACGGTGAGCGAGATTGTGAGCGTGCAACAGGTTTCTTTGCTTGGTTGGTGCCCTGCTCGTTGTCAGAACCTGATGAGCTGTCAGTAGACAGAGGTTTAGTGATCTTATCAGCAGACCGACGGCGTTGTGGAGACGGACGGCGTCGAACTGGACTAGGACTGCGGCCTCCTCTCCTGGGTCGTGGAGAGGGAGATCTACGACCACCGAACCGTGATGGTGGTGAGGGAGATCGGCGACGACCAAAGCGTGATGGCGGCGAGCGACGCCGATTGCCATACACTGGACTGCGTCTGCCACCACCACCGCCACGCCATGCTGGGGAGCGGCTTCGTGACCGGCGACGCGTGGAGCGGTACGGCGGTGTCACGCTACGCTTCCTGCCAGCCGACGGGCTTCTTCTGTGTCGTCGTGGAGACAAGTTCCTGCGCCGTGGCGACGGGGAGGCTCTGTGACGTGCTGGAGATCTGCTGCGAGATGACGAGGACGAGGAGCGAGAGGATGAGCGGCGACTGCGTGGACTTGACGATCTGCTGCGTTCACGCTTCACCTCCAGTGGCTCAGTCTTCACATCGGCAACGGTCGGCACCAGGGGAACTGCAGCTATGGCGGTGACATTCGCTGGAGCTCTGCGATAGAACACACAATCGTAAAACACACACGCAAGGAAAAACATGTACACATCATAGTTAGGAGATGGACACTGCAGGACAGAGAAACGGGGATAGCACATTTACAAAAAAGCAAAATCGGCAAACATTTCATACCACTGTAGAGACATCTAATAGACTAAAATGCAGAATGAAAACAATGCGACTTACATTCCCCAGCGGCTCACACGGGCTGCAGGGCACCAGAGCAGAAAACAAAAAAGAGCACCATTTCCAATCCAGCAGTGCGAGAAAACCAGGAGTTTGATTGCACTTTTTTGTCCTCGTCCTACTACTAGCTGGTAGAATACAAGACCTTTTTCATAAAATTGTGTCGAGGTAGCCACGGGCAATGCAAGTTAAATCAGCAAGGGAAACATGCATGTATATGAAGCTAGCGACGTGGTGGGTGACCTAGCTGGTTATTGCCCGCCTACAGGAGCCCTAGATGAAGTTTTACAAGCCATAAACATCAGATTTAGCCTCCTACTGGGCATGGTTGTGAGATACCCTCCTCACTGGTGCCATTAGGGCATGGACAAGCCCCCAGCATGAGTAACAACATGTTCTGCATGAGATATGCTTTGTGAGGTGATCCAATTCACGCATTGTACTCACGTCGTCTTGGCTTGCTCTCGGCCATGGCAGCAGCGGAATTATCACCTCCACCGCTAGGCATGGGGACAACAGCAGGAGCTGCCACCTCCCTGGGTGGTGCAACTGGAGCAGCAAGAACAGCTGAAGCCACAGCCTGTACACCAGTAGATCACAACACCATATGGACAGATGGACGGACATACAGAATCGCAAACACACAAACACACACACCACTTGACGCCCATCGCCTCATGATAGCGATGCTACAGCAGAAGCCATAGCAGCTTGTGCTGGGATTGCACCATTCAACAGCTTGCAAGGCTGAATAATTGACAGCCACTATTCAGCCTGGTCTACACCACACAGCTATGAAGTGGCTTTTTCTGGCCAGTGAATCCCTACTTTTTGGTCTTTTTCATTTTTTTCACGCACACACATAACACCACATACTCCGGCATGCACTGGCTGTTGGTAACCACCCAGGAGAATGAAAGAAGAGTCAGGAAGAGTCTGAGAAAGAGAAGAAAGACGTGTGTGACCATAATCGTCGGGAATCGAACCCGCAACCTATCGATTGGAAATCGCTGCACATACCACTGCACCATATGGGACACACACCTGACCTGACCTTTGACGCCCATCGCCGGAGGTGATGATAGCAATGCACACACACACACAGCCCCCCCCCCCCCCCCCCCCAGCAGTGCAAAGCGCAAATGACTGCATCATGGTTCGTTTGCCACTAACTAGCTACATCTACAAAGGCACAAGTAAGATGAAACAGCACAAATACATGCACACATGACCAACCCCCCTCATACTCACTCAAACACACACACACACACACACACACACACACACACACACACACACACACACACGTACCTGCGTAACAGCAGCAGTGGCAGTAACAGCGGTCGCACGGGTTGTTGCTAACTGACTGACAAGCGCTTCTTGTGCTGCAATGTTCTGGGCAATACGATCCTGTTCCATCTATAGAGAGCAACACATGTCAGAAAACGATGAGAGAGAACATGGTCACACACATGGATACAGGAGGGAGATGCCATTGCTCGGAACAGACAAGAGAGAATGGTCTACAAAAAGGAGGTCATTCATTAGATCCATTTTCTGTCAGTTTCTGCTTGCGAAGGCAATAAAGAGACAAGTGAAGTTCAAATTTTACCTGGGAGCGACGCACAAGTCACTCACCTTACGCTGACGAATTTCTTCTTTCTTCTTTTCCATGAACGCAGTTGGGATACCACCAACATTGTCCTGGGCACTAACCAAGAGCTCCCAGAGTTCCTCCATGAACTGGCGCGCACGCTTGGCATGGAGGAAAGCGGTTACATGCATCTGCAGGCGTTTCGGGTCAGGATTCTACACAGAACAGCACAACAGACAGGCACAATGCGACGAGCAGGTTATGTTATTATCAGGCAGAGCATCCGCACAGTGCTCGGCTCGCAGCTAACTATTCCACCCTGCCCAATCTATCTTAAACACGACGGTACATCCAACCTGAGCACGTAACATGCATACAACACATGGGTACAGACAAGCAAACCTCTCGGTAACACCCGCACCCACACACAGTCTGTGCCCCATCCGTATCATCTTATTTTGTTACGCTGCGTGAGATGCACAGTCACAGAGAAAAAGACACGCTGGCTGCGTTCGGTGGCGGTGGCTTCAACAAGTCTACTGGAGGGTAGCGCCGACAGCATGGCCAAGAGCTGCTCAGTAGTACTTGAGTAGCAGCAGCAGTATGCATCACTGCATCGTGCGTTCCATCACCGTAGTCTGCACTAAGCCACTTACCACAGTGCTGGCGGGCATACTGAGACACAGTCAACTGCAAAGCTATCAGCAGGGATAAGACAGCCATAGGTAGACGACATAAGACTCCGAAAAAAAACTTCGAAGCGATAAAAGCATGGGAGAGAGAGAGAGCAGAAAAATGGGGACGCTATTTCTATTCTAAGGCTGTATATTAGTAGAGTCCACAAGCTATACCTGTACATTTTTAGCCATTTGGCTTTCCGAGGCGCAATGCCATGATGTATTATAATTGCCACTAAACGAACTGCAGATGCACAGGCAAGCCCTCTTCCCTCTCACACAAACAACAACACGCAAATACGCACTAACATGAATGTTATCTCTCACCAGCGCGTTCGCCTCTCTGTGTCCGCGTTTACACAGAGAGACAATCAGAGTTAGTAGTGTTCTGTGGCAGTGCACACGGTGTATTGGCGACATCGCACGCAGAGCATAAGACCGCTATTCTATTTGCAAATGCGGCCTCAACCTACATCAGGTAATCATACATGTAGAGTCAGAGTTTGAAAACGGAACAACACCAAAAGCAAATACTAGCATACCCCGTTACGGTCCGACTATACATCTATCGATCACCAGTTATTGACGAATTTATTATTTACAACCTATGGAACCTGGTCAATTTCTCGGACTTTTGGAGAAATCGAACAATATGGGCCGAAGAGAAAATTCTCAGCTGTCAGCTCAAACAATTGCTGAAGCAATTGGATAAGCGGTTCTGGAGATCGTGGCAAATTTGCACTCAGGACGCGATGCGTGACTGAACAGTCGGGGTGTCCCCGTATACGTCAGATTGCGGAAGGATACACTCATTCAAATTCAAACTATCTCGCAATTCTCCACAAAACTAGGGCTTCACACGAGCAAGCAGAGTGGAATGGCGGGTGGAGATTGATCAAAAACGGAAGCCCAGTGCTGGTCCGGGACATCCGGTGGAATCGAGTTTGTGCTGAAAGTGCTCCGCTCGTCAGAAGCGTTCCAGGATGCCCACGATGACGACATTTATCCGTGGGAAATCAAAGTTACGTTCAATTGATATAATCTATATGGTAAACAAAGTGTCTGAAGTCCTTGCTGCAAATAGTACTCAATACCTCAAAAATGGGCAGAGCGTACTACACAAGGCAGAACAAC